CGAAGAGGCGGAATTTCACGGAGCGCGGTAGCGGAGCACAATGCCGAAATGAAAATGACAACGGTACACCGGAGATCAATCTGACCTTCGCCGCGTGAGCGTTAACATTTCTCCTCGCGATAACGAGCCGCGCGTAACGCCGCGTATCGCAGATAAGGGGACCGCGCGCCGCGCCGCGGAGAGAGATGGCGACCCAGAATTTCGTAAAAACAAGGTCGACGCACGCGGAACAACAACCGCCGGTGTATACACGCGTTAAATATAATCACCCGCGCGCGTCGCTCTGCCTTTATAAAGCCATACGACGACGACCGGGCGTCCGATGTTCTTGGCGAACACGTAATAAACTTTAAAGCTGGAAAGACGGAGTCTCGCATGCACCGGAGAGTGCAGGGGCCCACAAGCGGCGAGTAGGTGGCTAACCTTGACGACCACTCGCAAGCGAGCCACACGGACGCGGGCGTACACAAACAAACGTGCCGATGGCGCGGTGGTGATGGCGACGGCGGCGGCGGCGGCGGCTGAATGCCGGGGTGTGCGTTTCCTCGCGTGATGGCCGTGTAGTAGATGTGTCGTGGTGTGGTTGGTCGGCGGGTTCGCCGGCATATGGGCCAAAGGCACACTGGTCTGCCATCGACGATGCAAAAACCGGAGGAACTTCCTCAACCCTCCGCGGCCCGGCGTGCCTTCGGAGTATCATAACATGCACTTGCCTCGTCGTATTAATACGACTGTCACGCGGACGCCTTTGCGGAGCGTATCTCGGGGGATCGGCGGCGAATATTGTTATCTGATTCGCGGAGAAATTGTTTGCTCGGTCAGAGTCTCTATCTCTACTAGTATTCTTCACCTTGTTTATTGTATTAGCGCGCTCGTTAACTTTCGCACACTCTTCTCTCCTACATTTCTTATGTGCATTATTTTCCGTAATATTGTCCGTGCGCTTCGGGGGACTTGCCGAGCGTTAAATAAATGATTCTAACTATTCTCTCCCTTTCCGACGACAATCGGCAATACGGTAAACGTAATAGCGAAAGTTGGCGTAGATCCACGAGCCGGGGGTCCACGTTTTGTCTCGGATACTCGTTTAGACGGTCTCGGCGCGCTTTTAAGTTTTCTCGACGCTGAGAATTTTTTATTCGCGAAATTCCCACGGTTGCGTGCTCCCTTAAGCACGTCTCGAGTACGAGGTTTCTCGGAGGGCCTCGCGGGTTATCTCGATTTCCTGCGTATCGCGCCGGTTCGCCGAACTATTTTTTATGCAAATAACGTAGATAACTCGTCATCGGCCGGCGCGCGCGGCACTCGCGAATACAGGTTTCCGTCGGGCGCGTCGTGCATGCGGCTTCGGAGCTTCCTCTAAAAAACGGGCTCTCGCCCGCGAGGACAGCGGGCGTGCCTAGGATGTTGCCATGGCGAACCTATCGACGGCATCGAAACAGGTGCGGCGCAGGTTGCCCGCCGCAACGCGGTCCACATCTGCGTGCTTCTTCCCCTTTTTCGAGAGAGCGCGAAAATATTCTAACGTAAGGCAGAAATAACACCGCGAGTGGAGCCGAGAGCTCCTTATCAACCAACGTTCGCCGGGCTTTCGTAAACAACCGGACATATCGGAGTTGCAAAGAAAAACGGCGGATTATTACATAAACACGACTGAGGAAGGAGAGAAAAAAACGCGCGCCGAGCGTACACGTTTTCTCTAGTCATTGTCGGGAAACCAGTCGCTTTTGTACGGATGCAAAATTCTTGCTACTAAGTTCAGAGGATTTTAAAGAAACATGAACGATCCGAAGAAGATAGGCGGAATTTGCATGTTAAAGGATATTTGCTATTTGCTCCTTGCTCGCGGAGGCACATAAGAGAATGCTTGAGCGCGGGCGTTGTCTTTTTTTTTCTCTCTCTCTCTCTCCAAGAATTATTTATGCTCGGTGTCTGGACGCCGGTATGAATGGCCGTATTTCCGAAGCAGGCATGATACATTATTATAGAGAAGAAATGGTTATTTATAAAATTTTCCTTCGCAGCCCGTGGGCGTACGTGGAGAAAGAATCGCGGGGGAGGGGGAGGAGTGAGTTACGCGCTCGGCCACGGTTTATTTCTGTAGCGAAAATTAGTCCGAGTTGGATGGAACGGCACGTTTATCCTAGATTATTCCGAGGCCGCGTAGAACATGTTCGACATCTCGCGCGAGCCCGCATCTCGAATAATTCCGCTAATGGAACAGCGCGTTTCGCAACTCGCCGGCGCGGCGCAATGATCTTGAAAAGTCTTTTTTTTTTCTCTCTCTTTTCGTCCGCGAACGTAATCAACAGCGTCACGTCCCGCCGTGTGCGCAAATGGTACCCGTATGCGTGTACGCACGCACGCACGCACGCGTGCGCTCGTCGCTAATGACGAGTCAAGTTGGAAACGCGCGGAAAAACTTAGGCGGTTAGACTTAAGAATTTCCACCAATCGGAATCTTCAGCGTTGCTCAAGTTTCAAAATGACGGCTTACGTTCTCCACCGTCATCGGTCGCTTTCCTCAAGTCTCGAGTTTTACCGCTCAAGTTTATCCGTGTGCTCGGGCCATTAGCTGTAAACGCACGAAAAAAACTCAAGACTTAAGTATATCGACCAATCGGACTTTTCAGCGTTGCTTTAGTCTCAAAATAACCGTTTACGTTCTCGACTGTCATCGATCGGTCACTTCCCTTAGGGCTCGAGTTTGTGTTGGCGTGTTCGGGCCTTTACCGCGCGACCAGATTAAAGCTCGGCGCGATCGTTTCGGGCCGATGTGGCTCGCCGATCGGAGGCGGTAATCCCCCGGAGGGAGAGAGTCCATCGCGTTCGCGATGCTCGCCCGCATCGACCCGAATCTCATTACGCGGATCTCTCCTCGGCTATTTTCATCGATCGCCCGACTATTCGGCAACGACGTCTAAAATAACGCCGCATCCGCGTCCCAAAACTATGTTGCCCCCGCGACGCGCGGGGGACCCGCGTCCCCGATAAAATAGCGCGCGTACAGCGGCCGATCTCGCCAAAATTATTTCGCGGACCCGCGCCCGCACGCGCGACGCCCTAATCGCCGCACGCTCACGTTCACCAGGCCGTCTACCGCCGCCCGAGCGTCGCGGCAGCGGGGCGAGGCGGGGGACGGAGGACGAACGGGGTGGAAGGGAGCGAAAAACATCTCACCGACTCCGATCGAACGTTCCCTCACACGCACGCGTGTGCCCCCCGTGCCGCGAGTACGCGCGTACACACGCTTGCGCGTTCGCCCGCGATCTACCCGCGCGTCTCCCCGCGCGCCCTCTCCGTCGAGTTCCCTATTACCCGCACGCTCGCTCCGATGGCGCAAATTTCGGTCACACCTGGTAGAATCCCCATGCGAGAGAGAGAGAGGAGAAGGAGGAGTGGAAAGGTGGAGGGCGGGGAGGGGGAGGGGGAGGAGGCCCTCTCGCGCACGCTCGACATTGCACACAGCGCGCCGTGCAAGGCTCCCGTCCGCCTGTCCTCCCCCTCGCCGTTTGCCACCACCACCACCGCTCTTCCTCCACTCCGGACCCCCGACCGAGCGACTCGGTGTGGGACGGGCTGAGCCGGGAGAGGGAAAGCGCGGTCGACTCTCCCGTTTCGGCCGTGCACTAGAACTTGACTCCTAAGCTTCGCAGTGGCGGCACCAAGCTCTATCGGTGGCTTCTTTCCGCTCGCTTCGTTCGTCCGTCCCTCTCTCCCTCTCGCGCATCGTCGAGTGGTCTCTCTCTCTCTCTCTCTCTTTCTATCTCCTTCTCGCTGTCTCTCTTCCCCCTCCCCCGTCTCCTCCCGTCTCTCGTTCGCCAACGGGTTCTCTTTCATCCCTCTCCATCCTCCGGCGCGGCACACGAGACTCACTCGGCGAGGTTGTGTGTCCATCATCGTCGACGCCGCCACCGCCACCACCGCCGCCACCACCGCCGCCGCCGTCGTCGTCGACGTCGACGTCGTCGTCGTCGCGGTGCACGTTTTCATCGATTCGCGACGGCCGACGAGTTGACGGCGAACGAATGACTTGGCTCGTAAAACCGTCGCGAATTCTCGGTAGAAATAAGAGATAGAAAGGGGAACTTGTGTCGAGTCTCGCGCTGGATCCCGTCGCGGCGACTGTGGCTTTTTATTTTCATTCTCTTCCCTCTTTACTCCATCGCGATCGTCAGCTGGGATCTCCGTGCACGAGTCACGTTCAATAAGTCGTTCGCGATAATAACCACCGTGGGTCTCGCGTCTAAATGAGTCGCGTGCATATACACGCGGCAGTGAAAGGAACCCGACGGTTTCGTCTTTCGATGCTCGGCCAAATTGCCTTGCGGTTACCGAAGAGAATGGAAATATCCGCCTCTCGCGGGGAATTGTACGCTCCTCGCGTGACTCCGCGCAGCACGGGGGGCCCCGCTGTAAGGAAAAACGTACGTGCGCGCCTCCTCCAAAATTTGCGAGAGCCCGGCAACATTCCGTCGTCGAAAATTGGCAATATCCCCTAAACCGTAGAGTCGCGAATGAAACGGGGCCTCCTCTCCCGCGGTCCCCGCCCCCTCTCGAGATTTCGTGTTAGATCGCGATCGCCACCGATCCGTGCGCGGCTTCCGCGATATCGAGAGCCCGCGAGATGCCCTCGCATTATAATTATCGATAAAGAATCCCGCAGCTGCCGAGGCCGAGCGTTCGTTCGTTCGCGTTCTCTCTCTCGTTCCCCTCTCCCCCCCCCTCCCGCCCTCCCATCCCTCTCTCGTAGCGCGCAACAAAAGTGCAAGTGGAAGAAGCGGAGCGTTAGCCGCCGGGCGGGACTTTGTTGCACTCCTTCTCCCCTGACCCCTCTCTCGGTCGCCCCCCTCCCCGCCACCGCTAGCTCGCTCGTTCGCCGACTCCTCCTCGCGTCCTCTCGCGGTCCTCTCGCCCCTCTACTCTCCCGGCCACTCTCCGCCCGTCCCAGTCTCCCCCTCTCGTCCCGAGACTGCACGCTCACATGCAACGAGAGCCAGACCGGCCGGCTGGCACTCAGTCGCCTTTAGCGCCGTGCATCTCCGAGTTAGTCAGTCAGTCAGTCAGTCATTGAGTCAGTCAGTCGGTGAATCGGGTCGCTCGGGTACGCGCGAAAGGTATCACCGTCCTCTCTTTCTCTTTTGCTCTCTCTTTCTCTCTCTCTCTTTCTTCTTTTCTCCGCGACGTACACCGTATGTAACTACACTTTACTCTCACCTCTCTCTTTCCTCTCGTTCCTACCTTTCTCCTCCGTTTACCCGTTCCTTCGCCGTGCCTCTTTCTTCGCGCCCTCCCCCCCCCGTTCCCTCTTTTCACTCGGGGCCACCGCTTCGCGCCGCTGACCGGGTCGCGCGCGTTCGATGCGTCACGGATTCTCTTCTCCCTCGTTCTCTCCTCCGAGAGTGCATCGTCCAGTGTGCCGCGCGACGTTTACTTTCCGCGTTCTCGCGCGCGGCGCGACGGCGAGAGCGGGCGAGGAAGGAAGGTATGCGCGCGGCCGTTCCCGGTAGGATCGACGATCGGTTTCGCGTCGGAGCCCCTCAGGTGCCTCCGCCTCGGAATCGCGGGGCAAAGTGAATGCGTGTTGTGTGTATGAAAAAAAAGCACATTGGTGAGAAACCGCTGCTGCCGCCGCCGCCGCCACTGCTCGGAAACCTGCGGCACGGGCGCGCATTTATGTTCGCCCGCGCTCCCGAAATTCGAGAAGACCGCTCGCGCTCTCTTTCTCTCTCTCTCTCTCTTTCTCTCGGTGCAGCGAACGCGATTTGTTATTGCTCCACGCGCGAGCGTGCCGGACGAAGCGAGACGTGGCGAGGCGAGGCGTGCGGAGCGGATGTGCACGGCTCGAAACTCGCGCGGACTCCGCGCTAGCTTCGCGCGCTGCCAAATCTCGCGCTGGCCACGAACCCGCTCGGACGCTGCACGTTTCGTGTTGCTTATTTTCGTCGCTGACGACGTCGGCGTCGAATGCACGAGCGTGCCGGCAAGGCGAAGGCTTCGTTAAGTTGGTTAACCCTTCTGTCCGCTGCACGCCAGAGAGGAAGAGAGAGAGAGAGAGAGAGAGAGTCTCGCGCGGTGTGACACGGCAAGTGGATTCTCGATACTAAACTTGGCAGTGCCTCTTTTGCGGAATACACCGTTCGCTTCCGTACGTTATAATTTCGTTCCACGGTCAATGTTTCCGAGTTCCCGAGGCAACGGCGTAAATCACATTACCTTTGCTCGGCTCCGTCATTGTTAGTGGAGGACAGTCCCCTATTATGAGATAGTCTCCTAATACGAGACAGCGGGTTTCCGACGTCCAATTCCGCGACTCGTTTTTCCCAACGACTTCACGCGCGACCGAACAACTTTACAGCGGACGGGTCTCACTTGCGAGGGCAACAAATTCATGGCGGGAGCAACGGATGACGCCGACTAATTTGCCAGAGACCCCGCGATCTCCCGTAATACGAGACTCCGCTTTGGTTATTACAGTTTTATAATTCGGGATCTTGCGAGCGTCATTTTAAAAAAGAAATTACAATTTTCGCGTCGCGCCGAGTTTTACTTCACCCCCCCCCCCACATTTCTCGTCGCAATTTATTTTTCACGGTTGCTTTTCTTAGCTTGGCCAGAATCGGGAAAACGCTCGGTCAATTAGCGAAAAGATCCCCCCAAGTTTGATTAAAGGGCTCGAAGAACTCGCGATTAGTTGCCGCGGGCGAGGAGGAAAACCGCTGAGGGCATTGTGGTGCACAGATTTGAGGCATTTTTTTGGGCATTAATTTGGGCAGTAGGCTTTGCTTGGCTATTATAAAGATAAAATAAGATAATAAAATTAAGTAATGCCCACCGGGCATTAGTGGGCATTGGTGTACAAGATTTCGGTCAGCGGTTTCCCCCTCGGCCGCGGGTAACTTATCCCTCGAAATATCGGTAAACGATTGAAATCCGCAAGGTAGACCGTAGACGAGCAAAGTCACAGTACGGACGAGACCCTGACGACAAGCCAGAGAAAAAGAAACCATTCACACTTATTTTCACTAATTCAGATTTATTCAAGGAGGAGCCTGCGGAGGATAGTCGCTATTTTCATCCCGCTCGCTCGTAGATCAAGCTCGACCCTCCCTCCTCTCCTCTCCTCCCCCCCCCCCCTCGTCCCGCGACTCTCTCGGACCCGCGTAAATCCCGCGACTCGGCCCGGAGCGCAAGTTAATCCGCGTTTAAAGGCTTTGCCGCCGCTCGCGTCCGACGTGTACGATTATCGGAGCACGAGGCGTCGTCGTCGGCGATCGATAAGCGCGCGCGGGCGAGTCGCCACAGTGTGCCAATGGGTTTCCCCCGCGCCGCCGCTGCACCGGCCGTCGGCGCGTTCTGTTTACGCGCCGCGCTGATTGCGGCAGCCGGGGGAGCGAGAGTGCATCCCCGGCCGTCCTTCGGGAGTGTTTTCGCGACCTTCGCGAGTAATCGCGCGAGAGCTGCATTTCGACGGGCGGCAGCGGCGGCGGCGGCGGAGACGGTGGCGGTGGTGGTGCTGGCGGCGGCGGCGGCGGCGGCGGCGGCGGTGACCGCCCTCGGTGGCGTTGCGAGAGATCGATAAACGGCGGCTCCAGCCTACGGTGGCCTTGCCTGGGTCGACGGGCCGCGCGCGAAACGCGCGGCTTAACGCGAGAGACGGTGAACCCTTTCTCCTCTCTCTCTCTCTCGCTCTCTCTTTCTCTTTCCGTCTTTGTCCGATCACGGCACGGCCATCGCGAGCACGCGGAAGTAATCTCGAAATAATCCCGCGACTAAATTTAACGGCGACTCGATCGGCCGATGGCCACCGAAATATAGGCGGCGACCCGCGGAGGATAAGAATGCGAACGATATCGGTCTGTTACTTGTCTGTTGGCCTGCGTCCACGGTGCTGGAACGTGGTCCAAGTTCTAGTTCTGAAAAAATGTGTAGCCGACCGACCTGCAGCTCTTATAGAATAGCTGCAAGTCGATCGGCTACACATTTCTCGGAACTAGAACTTGGACCGCGTTCTAGCATCGTGGAACACAGGCCTCGAGGTCACCGCAGCTCCTGGCGTCGTGGGTTACCGCGCGAATTTTGAAAGAGATTTTCAGAAAAGGGGTAGGGAGTACCGCGGGCACGCCGCGCCGCTGGAACGATCGTCGCAGCCGCGTCGGGGCGCGTTCGGGATCTTGCCATTAGCCGCGCGTTTATTTCGCCGTGTGCTAAGAAGCGGCCGCAGCCGTCAGCCAGAAACGCCGAGTCGTCACGTCGCGCTTTTGAACGCGCCTCGATGATCCGAGCGAGTGTCGTCACATGCTATACTTGAACCCGTGCGGAGTAACGACAGGCGCAATGACTTCTCTCTAGCGTATCGCGCGCGGCTGAATGCACACGTGCTCCGCGGGATTTTACACTCCCGTCCTTCGGCACTTCGTTCCTCGCGCATTAAACTCGACTCCGATCGGCGCATTAAGTCCAACTCCGCGTCGCGTCTTCGTGTTCTCCCCAGCGAGGCAGCAGAGACGGTCGAAATTTATTTTCCAAAATAACAGAAAGCACAAGATTCTCGTACAATTTTCCGCCGCGAGGCAACCAAATATTGGCTACTGAAGTCTTACAGTTAAAGTTAAGTGGAACTCGTTATCAGCGAATAAGAAAATCGCCTACACCCAGAAAAAAGATTTAGTTAGGTTAAACAAAGTGAGATACGTTGAAGTCACATTTCTTTGAACTTGTACTAATTGCGAGACAATTGCTAAATTTGAAGAAGTATATACGGATTCTAGTAGAAATTCCAGTCTTAAATACGATTTTGGTTAATCATTTCTTTGAAATTAAATCGAAGTTTAATACGACTAAAATTAAAACAAACTTTTCTGGGTGTAGACCAGAGGCCTCTGTATACTACCAGACTGCTACCATCGAGCACTGAAAAGTGAGGCAAGAGTTCCGCCATGTATTGTTATGCGTACTACTTTATTTACCTAACAAGACATGGCGGAACTCTTGCCTCACAGTTGAGCTCGAAAGCAGCAGTCTGGTAACGTATATAAAAGGTCCGTGGCGTAGACAAAGCGGAAAGGTCGTGGAACAATACGAAGGCAGATACGGGTTGGATTGTGATTTATTATTATACTTTCGTATCGTTTAACAATAAGTGCACATCAGAACGTTGGATCGAGGCGAGCGTTAAACGTTGCAAAGAATACGCGATAGATACATTCCATGCAACTCGGTGGTTTACCATTGCGCTTTTTGAACGAACTTGGTGAATGTCGGATGCGCGTGTATGTGTGTCTGGTGTGTGTGTGTGTTTGCGCGTGCGTGCGTGCTGTAATACTCGAGTCGACTTGAATAACGACAGCCGTAGCTCGCGGACTTCTCGCCGCGCGCCGTCTTCCACGGTATACATGTCGCAATTGTTGAAAATTCAATAAGCTGTCCCCGCAGACAGCACGCGGGTTCGCATTGTGGAAAATCAATGCCTCGGAGATGACATTCAGCGCCGCGTACACGCACGAAACCGAGCCGCCGCGCGAATCGCGGACGCGTGTCATCGTCGCCTTCTGCAAAAGCTCGCCCCCTCCTCCTCTCCCTCTCCCGTTTTCACGTGGCGTCGGCGTGTGACCCTAAATGTCACGACATTTATGCGCTCGTAATAGGGTACGATATTGCTCGTCGGCATCCGCGGGTATAACTTGCGTTCTTGCACGTAACTGAGAACTGGCAATTTCGTTCTCGGAGGATAAACTTGGGTGCAAACCCGCCGTTCTCCGCTGCGTCACGAAAGTCCGGCTCGGGTCTAATTGATAACGGCCGCCCCTCGTGTCTCTCCCCCCCCCTCCCCTCGAAGGAAGAAAAAACCGCGACAATGTCCCTTCCATGTGTCAATGTCCTTTCCACGCGTCACGTGAAAACGGGGCGGCGCTTTTGCGCGGCTCGAAGTAGCCCAGGATTCGTGTGCGTGCGCGCGCGTCGCGAACTCAATTACAATCAGCGTAGAGATACCGGGCTCCTTTTATCACGGGAACCGACTTATTCTCACGCTTTGGAAACAGATTTGTTATAGAAATTCAATGCGGGGTAACTTCGAGGAGCTGTTACGGTACAGCGGGGCAAGGTAATCTCCGATTTACGTGACGCTACATTCGTTTTGACGTAGGAACATTTCTCGAAGCAGGGTTTCACACAGTTGTGATATACAATATATTTCGCGGTAACAGAAATTTTTCCACGGCTCGCGCTAAACCGGCAACTCCATCGAGCAGCCAAATCTGCATCCCATTGGCGGCGCATGAAAGAGATCGCGTCTATCGCGTGTCATGCATAAAATATACTCTTCTCTTTTCTCTCTCTCTCTCTCTCTCTCTCTCTCTCTCTCTCTCTCTCTCTCTCTCTTTCTCTCTCTCTCTCTCTCTCTCTCTCACACCACGGCGTATTTTTGCCGTTGACCTGTGCAGGACACCAGAATTAACGCGGCCGATCGATCGTTTCGCAGGACGATATACCGCACGCGCTCGCCTTTTCTCGCGCGTTTTATAATAACATTATCGATCATCTCCGCCTTTTAATTACGTCAGCCTATCACTGGCTTCGGGAATATATCGCCTCTATTGATAATGCACACAATACGTCACTCCCGGCTCATGACGCGAAAAGGCGTATCGACTCGGCTCTATTTTATTGTGTTGCTTGACGCCCGAGCGAAGAAATATAATCGCACATGCACAGAGAGGATTGGCTCCTCGTGCCCTCGACATTTTCACACACTTGCCCGCTCGCGCGTGAGCTTTTCACGATCCTTTCCTATTCCGTTCCCGGTCACTTTTTCCAAATTACGCAAGATTGCAAAGCGTACAGGGCCTCTTTTATCCGCGAGCTTGAATCTCCGGTGCTCATTTCGAATCGACGAATCTCATCTTGCATCTACAACGCACTCGAGTCACTCCGCGTTTCAGATCCTCAAAGCCTAATCTACAATGTGCCCTTTGCGTCTAGAAACATTCTATTTTGTAGTCAATAAAACGTTTAAAAAATTTGTGCAAGCGGATAAATTGTACATACATTATACACTGTACAATTATACACTGTCGACAATTTTTTTAAGCATTCCGATTTTATGTAAGATAGAATGTTTCCAGATGCAGAGAGCGCAGTGCAGATTAGGCTTTAGGATTCCTTAGTGGAAACTAATTTTCAGCGGCGTACACGCCAGAAGAATTGTATCGCGAGGCTTGATTTCACCTCGCTCGAGCCACGACACGATTCGGATCGCGCGATTCCCGCCTACGGAATCCGTATAGCACCCGGTACATATCGATCTGTCTTCCCGCTATAGCGCGGCCCGGGCGCAGTCTTGGCGTTAACCTTGAACTTCAACCTCGACATTAGCGATCGGTCACGAGAGTCGCGCTCGCCGTATCGCGATCCACCCACGATCGACACGGATGATCGATCCCCGCTGTACAATTGAGAACAATCGAGCGACGGTAGAACGCGGAACAAACGAGTCCAGGAGAGTGGGGGGAGGGGATCCGGTTTAGACGATTAATCAGTCGGATCGAAGACTCGGAGCGGGTCCGGTTGAGAAATTGGAAGCTCCATTAAATTCGAATGGCCCGCGTCAAATTGACGATCCGATCGCCGCGGCGGTTTCCACGTTTCAAAATGTCCGAATTCGAGTCGGGTCGTGTAACGAGGTCGTTAAACACGCGTCAGCTGAGACTCGACGAAAACGAGAAGCTCCCGCGATTAAAGGGTTGCCACCGAGGCTTCCACGTAGCGCTCCAACTCTGTCCCGCGATATTGATCCGTCTATTAACCCGCTACGGAGAGGCACTCCCGCGGCCAATTGACATGCCCGGCAACCTTGTCGCACATGGACAAGTGCAACGACAACGGCTCTAAGCACGCGCGCATGCACACGCACACGCACGTGGCCCCGTGCATGTGCATTTCGTGTAATTGCTTGGTGCATTACGCAAGTCGAGCGGTCTATCGCGTCTCTCTTTCTCTGTCTCTCTCTCTCTCACTCTTTCTGTCTCCCGAGAGACACGTTAGTCGGCGTCGATCGCGAGACAAGGCAATCGCATTTCCTGCGTGCGCGTGTGGTCAAGGTCGCGGATCGTGTGCGTGCGAATTGCGGCCGATCGCCGCGCGATGGAGGATCGCCGGCGGGTTATTTCGAGATCGCGGCGAGGCGCGAAGAGAAACTGCATAAAAGCCGGTGATAAATATTTTTAGAGACTCTCGTCGTGTCGGAGGGAAGAGGCCGGCGTTTTCATAGCGCTCTCTCTCTCTCTCTCTCTCTCTTTCTTTTTATAATCTTGTAACGCGACCTCGATAACATCATTTGATTATTTAATATCGCGCTTCTCTCGCGTCTCGCGTACGCACGTCGCGTAATTTCATGTTAATTATCCCCGGGGCGTTTCGCTCCGCGCGGTCAGAGTTTCACGGTCAGACAACGATCGAGCGCATATTTCAGAAATACCGTTCGCCCACAAACGCGCGCGAACGGGCGCGACGTCGCGCAAACGTTGTCGAGGTCCTCGACTTTCGCGCACATACATCTTCGCCGTCCGTGTCCCTCTTTTCTTCGCCCCCCCCCCCCTTTGTTTTACAATCGCGAGAGGAAAGCGAAATAAATTATCGAAAAAAGCGAGATTTATGCCGGAGCCCGAATCCTCTCTCTCTCTCTCTCTCTCGAACGAAAGCGACAGCGGGGCGCTTCTACGGGGGTAAAAACGCCGCGCGCTTTTTGCGGGACTCTTCGACGCGGGCGCTTTTTCCTCGCGAGCGCGTCGAAGGCCGGCGGCCGGGAGTGTACACGAGTCAGCACATTCGTCTTCGCGCTACTCCGCGAGATACCCTCCCGCGAGGGGAGGCCTCTCGTGGGAGGGACCGCCACCCGCGAATCCCTGGCGGGCGGTTTCTCGACCGGCGGCGACCTCGAGGCGCGGGGCCAAGGGTTCTCTCTCGTTCTCACCCTTTCTCATTCCCTCCCCCCCCGCCTCTCTGTCCCTTCCTATGCGGGGCTTTCTCCTCGGATTCTTCTTAAACGCGCAAAAAGCGTAAAATACGGTTGTCTGCCCCGACGGGTCTTCTTCGGTCTCGACGGTTAACTCGGCGCGTTCGCCGGCCGTGCTCTTCTCTCGCTCACCTCGGACTCTCGAGTTATCGCTCCGCGCGGAGGCAGCTTCGATCGACTCGCGAGCGTTCCGATTACGAGACACGGTAGTGACCGTGTGTAGTTTACGCGAGTACGCGAGTTGACAGCCCGAGTCGAAATGTTCTACCTTTAATTCTATGATGTAGTAGGACCTAAGGCGGTAAAAGAATGTCGAACTGCAAGTACAAAATTTACCGATAGTCTCGGAAATTTATACTTTTGCCAATTTTGCCAATTTAGCGTGAAAGTAGGTCCCTTTAAGTAGGGGCTAAAGTAAATTTGGAGAGCTACAGATTCAAGGGAGGAGTAAACAAATATAATATCATCAAAGTAGATTATCACTGGTTTATGCAGGTGTACAGATCAGCTAAGTAGGTGTAAATTATCCTTAAAAGTATCAAAATAGTATCAAAATTTTGACTCGGGAGGCCCTCAGATTTTCGGATCTCAACAACGGCTGATCCGATGAGCCTCTAAGTGGACTCCGTCGATAGCTTGGGTTCGATTTGCATAATAAAAGTTTTTTTTATTTTTATTCAGTTTCCGACCGTTCGAGCGGCCGATCGTGCCTTCTCGTCCGATACAATCCGATTCGATTGGCGCGCGGTGCGCGTCTCAATCTCTTCTTCGGCACTCGCGGTCCTGATCCCCGGGTGACAGGATAATTCGACGAACGACAGAGAAAGGGACGCCTCTCGCGGCCGGAGAGGCGAGACGCCGCGAGCCGGCCACGCTCGGCTGTTTTGCAATCCGGGCCACGGTAAAAATTAAAGCGCTGCTTAAACCCGTGACTAATTGCACGCGTCACGCCTGGCACACTTAAAGCGATTTTTCTCGAATCCTCGTTTCGTCCGTGGAAGCGCACCGAAATTACGTCGATCCATTCTCGTTATTTACTCCCCGGGGGAGAAATATTTCGAATTGTTTTGCCGCGAAATCCGATAGCGGGGGGGGGGGGGAAATAACCTGATTAATCACGCAGGTAATGACGTCCCAACTGTTTGATCGATGATAAAATCGACCGATAACGTCGCGCACTCGAAATCGGGGATTATGAATAAGTCAGCCGATATAAAGGATTTGCAGCGTATACCCACAATGCCGCGCGCAAAAAATAACTCGTGCGTATTAATAATAAGCTTTCGCAAATGCGCTATGATATTCGCGCAAACGTTCCTCCGGATTGATAGCTTCGCTAAAATGTAATAACTTCTAGCTGAGATACAGTCTCCGCTCTCGTTCTTATCTACCTTTTTAAACGATTGAACGCTCGTCGTACAATTTATTATCGTGAGATGTGCTTCTTGTGGTGGCGCGAGAAGTGTATCTTACGATAATACAATCTTAATGCGCGCGGACTAAAATGAATGTGGAAAAGCAAGTTTGGGAGCGTAATTAAGAATGTGACTTAATGCGTTGCGCCTCAAGCCCTTCACTAGAAGGGAACATGAGCTACTTGTCGGTGAATGCCGTGGGATTCAAGGTCGCCGCGCGATTCGGTGAAGGATTTTTCGTCGGTTCGCGTCCGTCGTTATCCCCCTTCCTGCCTCCTGAACGCCACTCTTCTCTTTCTGCTGTAGAATAGTTAAGCAACCGGTCGCGCGGTCGATCACGAACGAACCAAAGAAGTGCAGTGAGCAACCATACCAAATCGATACCAAAAGAAGGAGTTGAGCCCGAACGAGGGAGGGAAGGACTCGAACTGTGGAAGGCAGGACTTCTTTCGCGAGATGACGCGGTGCGGACGGGGCGAGGGTTCGGTCTGAAAAGAAACGAGAGGGTCGAACCGCCGGGGTGGTGTGCCACGGGGGGTGGTGGTGGTGGCGGCAGTGTTGCGCGTGTGTGTGATAAGATCGGCAAAATAAATCGGTCCACGGTGACGAGTGAAAGTAGATCGGGCAGGCAGCCGGGCAAGATGATGAAGAAGGAGAAGCCGATGATGTCGGTGACGGCCATCATCCAGGGGACTCAGGCCCAGCACTGGGCACGTGGCAGCACCTGTACGTATTTACGTCAACATCCTGTATAATTGACATCGCGGGCGATCGATCGCCCGCGAATTAACTTGGCGGATCGCGGCGAGTGACGCCGCGATCTGGGATGAAACGCGAAATTACTATCATTATTTGCGGGCACGTCTGTGAATTCTTTATGCGCGCCCATTAGTCTTTAAGAGAGGGCATCGCTTGAGATATTATATATTTAATAGCGTCTTAAGAGCGTATAATAAGACTCTATAATGAAATTACACAGCGCTCGTGTGGTGCGTTACAGCCGTACCGAGCGGTCGTTAGATCTCTATTTTTAATTAAGACGAGCAAATGAGTCGTGCGGACGAAACCGGGACGGGGGAATCGCGGCACGGATTTTCGGTTTTTCAGGCGAAAGCACGCTCGAGTTTTAGGCAGCGGGGGCAAAACCTTGCTCGAACACTCGGAACCAATTAACGAATTCCACGTACGTACGTGTGATAGAGGCATATTCTTAGACGACGACGCGCTCATTACAAGTAATTTAATATTGATGAGCTCACCGGCAATGAGAGATCGCTGACGCTGATGATTCAGCCGTACGTATATTTTTCTCGCTAATGCGCGATTTAAATTGATAAAAATTCCGCGTTTCATTAGCGCGTCGTGGATTGCGAATGCGATTGACCTCGGCGCGATTGTTACCTCGGCTGGAAGGAAAATCGTATCTCCACAGTGAAAGAAAGCGGGGTAATGTTATTTCGACCATACGACTCTACATAACGTACTTTATAATAGCGTCATTAAGTGCATTGAAGCGTACCGAAATGAGATGTGATTTTCGCGGGCTATCTGTGGCTCTGCGCTAATTAACGCTTTACGACCGTCCATGTGCCCGGCGCTGAATTGCGTTACTTAAAAAGTGTCCGAACGAGATGGACTTGCCTACGAATGATAATTAGCGTGCCGGTGCTAGACCGCCGATTAGCACGATCCCAAGGTTCTACTCCGCCGCAGCCGGCAACCCGCGCTCGTCGTTAAAACATTGTTTTCTTCCGCGACGACCGCCGAGTCCGGCGATATTCGCGCGAACAATTAGCTCCATGCAGTTCCTGTTGCGCGAACGGATCGTAAAACGTGCTCCGTAAAGATCGAAGTGCCTTTGTCTCCGTCAAAATGATTTGCATTATTCGCTCGCGATACTCGGTAATATTTGCGCAAGTTGAAAAGTCGCGCTGCCAGACGCGCGTCGAGAGGAACGGCGGTTTTGGATTGCGTTTTTATCAACTCGAGCGTATACTACGTACACAATGCCCGCCGCTCTTGAATTAGCGTGTCGTATCCGTCGCGACGCGCTCGAGCGAAGTGAGTCACCCGGTTCGTGCGATAGCCTGCCCGTCCGTCCTACACCGAAGCGACCGATACGCGCCGCACGGTCGACGCATATACATCATATGTAGATGCTAAATGTACGGGGTGAAGGTCGGCTATTGAGACGTGAATGGCGCAATTTGCGGCTGCGGCGGCGGCGGTAGCGAGCGAGCGAGCGAGCTCGTTATCAGTCACCGCTTCTGAAAGCGGCCTTAGTGCCGGGGCTTTAAAGCGCGAACGAGCGAGCGAGCGAGCGAGTGAGCGAGAAGGTCACGCGAATGCGCCCCGTTATCAGCGTCCACGGACGCGATTTACGAGCGCGGCTTTTCGAGCCTTATCGCATGTGTGTCCCTATTGCCGCGCAGCACGCGCGCCTCGCGATTCCGCCGCGGCGCGTTCGCCCGCCGGATTCGGGCACGAAACACCGGGGATCTTTCCGCACGGAACGTAAACACCGGGGCCCGGCGGGATCCGGTATGGAGACCGATGCCCCGGGAAAAATTGATACCGAGAGAACTGACCAAGTCAACGTCGCGGCGACCAAGTCTTGCCGCACTCGTTACTCTCTGCGCTACTCTGATAACGTTTTCTCTCTGTTTTTCCATCCGGACAATCTGCTGCAAAAGTGGAGCGAGATTGCGTGCCGCGGACAATTTTGCGAAACAGTTATCGCCTCCGGCACCGCTCTATTATAATATTTATTTGTCATTAGGCAATAGGAAAACCTAGATCAATACGAATCTTGGAGATTAACTGGTTGAAGGTGGCATTTTCCCTCGGATCTCGATAGCCCAGTGGTAATAGTTCCACGTGAATTTTGTGTATTCTCGCTCAGCCGCGCGCGGATCGTCGGCTTCTTCTCGGAGCAGTAAATCCACGTACTTAAGTCGATGATCGACTTTGCTACTAATGAACATCGTTAAGATAAAGACAAACGGTCCATTATCTATGGACAAATGACTTTCCAGTCCACTTTTAGGCTTCATGGAAAATGGTCGACTGTCTACATTTTGTCCGCATTATCTGTATTATGGGCAAGATGAATAGAAAATAATCCCCTTTTCCGGAGATAATCGTTTCCCGTCCACCTCACAAAATAATTAAAACTGAAAAAAGACGGGGTCGGGTTTTCCAACCTCTTGATAAACTGATAATTAAATTGTGTCTATCTTTACTTAACCGCTGAGGGCATTGTGGTGCACAGATTCTCGGCATTACTGGGCATTACTTAGTTTAGGCATCAAGCCTTGCTGGGGCATAAAGATACAATAAGGTAAAGTAAGATAATGAGATAAAGTAATGCCCACTGGGCATTAGTGGGCATTGGTGTACAAGATTTTGGTCGGCGGTTTCCCTCTCGGATTTAACTTGCCAGGAGGTTGGAACAACCGGCCCTGGAACAAATTTCATGACGGGCATACCTAAGTGTGTTTTCTTTTTAATTCTTCACGGATTGTCTACACTCGACTTGATCGCTAATAATCCTTATAAATCACCGCGAAGAATGTAATTGTGAAAACTATCGCGCACCTTGCTATTCATTTATTATTTTCAAGTCCAGGTTCGAGTCCTGGCTGAGGTAATATTTTTCGCAGTAAATTTCTTTAATTAGAATTTGCCAGTTAGCGTCGTTTAACAAGTTTTCTACATTGATTTATTATTTTTTCCCTGCTTGTCCCGCGACCGCACGATGATTCGATTGGACAAGAGCAGTCGCGGGACAAGATAATTCCGTCCCAGGTGGCGAAATTCATGGTCACGGGTCTGATCGTGATCGATCATACCGTTGACAGCCGCTCGTCTCAGACGAGGGAGCCCGTCTGTTTGCCGAACGGCGCGAAATTGCTCTTACAAGGCTGCGTCGCCGGTTTTATCGGATAAGACGCCGCGCAGGGCGCTCTTTCTCCTTATCGTCCACGGCGATGCACCAGGTAATGCCTCGCGCGCAGATAAAAAGAAAACACGGAGATACGCGGAACGAGGCGATATCGCGTGCATTATCGGGCCGCGGTCAACGCGCGCCGCGTACACGTCGCATCGATACGTCCATCATCAATCATCGTCGTTATCCACGCTGCCACGTCGGATTACCAAGTTACGTCGTGTTCGCCCAGGTTACGCTCGATTTCCCGCGGCCGACTCGCTTCTCTTTAAACCGCCTGGAAAAGCTCGTCGCCGCGTTCTCCCGCGATCATCCCGCGAAGCAAGATCGTCCTCGTTTCGCCCCGTCCCGGCGCGATGGGCGTGAACGCTCGTAATCGCGCTCGCCTTACCTTGATGGCGTTCGAATTAGCCGACGATCGCCGCCGATTCTGGTCTCGCGAATTGCGCCGTTTAGGACGGACGGACGGGCCAATCGCGTCCTCGCGACCGGGTATAATTGCGTGACGTTTACTATTTCGCGCGACGTAACTCGTGGCCGCGTCGCCCACGAGTGGCATAGTTCCAATATGGTCGCGGATGATTGCATCGCGTGCCGTCATCTTGGATCATTTCAGCGCGGGACGTCGCCCTAGAATCGACGAGGGTGGGCTTCGATGTTGATCTTTGTACAAGCGATATATGCGCGCGCCTTTTGCGCTATCGCGTTTGTCGCATCGCTCATTCCATATTCCGGAGATAATCGGCCGCGTATTGTCCGCAAGGATAACCGGTATCGCAACGGTCTAAACAAAAGAAATACATATTATGTGATTCGCGACTCGTCACTCGGGGATTTGCATACGCGGGAGCCCCGCGATGTAGCGCGATACGGTTGATTCATAATTAAATATTTAGATAACGGCGCGCGGCTCCGTTTTCGCGATACCCTGGTACATTAATTAGCGTGGACGCGTAGCGTCTACGTGTGCACGGCGAATATTATGTCGCGTTAATGAATGTCCCCTCGATAAAAGTATCGCGCGTCACGGCCAACGCCGATAACGCGCTATTAAGACCGAACGCATTTTGCATTTCGAAATGTAAGAAGCTAATTATATAGAATGCCCCGCGAGCCCTGGCGGAAAGTAACGACAGGTAGATTATGTAAATATAAAACCTCGTCTCGTAAATGTCTCTTTTACGGCGCCGCGACGTCCCGTGCAGCCTCGCATCGCGATCTCTCGGAGATGCGTCCCGAATTTCCATATAAATCTATCTCGCGCCCGAGAAGCGCATGAGAATCCGGGCAACGGCTTGCGCAATGCCTACAGCCAGATGATACATATAGATAAGAGCGATTCATAGGGAATTGCTCTCGCTTCTCCGTCTCTCTCTCTTTCTGTAAATCCCGCGGCCGCGTTTATTCAGCGTGGAACGTCGTCGCCGCCGTCGTCGTCGCCGTCGTCTCTGCATTATCGCACGCGCTGTATACGCGTAGCGCGACTGTGTCACGCACACGCATGCGGGATGCGTGTGCGCGCCGCGCGATAAGCCCCGAGCGTAAGCATCACGCGAGGCTCCGCACGCAGAGGCCTCGTCGCTGCTCCAGTGCAGCCTATAATGTACACGGGTGCGATGCAACCTTGGCACCGATGGGAACGAGCCGTGAAGAGCAGGTCCTGCTATCGCGTATCGTGTGTATGTACACGTGTACGCGCGCGCATCGCGCACACCGCCTCCTCTGTTGAATCAGACCCGCTGCGTGTGGGTGCGGGCGTTACTTCTTCTTCTTTTTT